TAACTGAAAAACCTTTAGTGCTTTTCTATAGTATTAAGCCTCAAATGTCAAATATACATCGGATTGGTTTCTTCTTTAAATTACTAAAAAAAAGTTAAAATATAAATGGTATTATAATGTTATACTAAAACTAAAATTAAAACAATGGTAAAACCCTTAAGATAACATGTAGAAAGAAAAAAACGCATCTTAAGCACGCAGAATAACATAAGTGGACTTTGAACGATTAATTGCCGCTTTGAACGATTACGTAATTGTGGCATCCATAATTGTAATCGCGATTAGAAATTTGATTAATTGTGCAGCCCTAATTCATATGATACTCTACTGTATTGTAACCAGGCAGCACCACACCAGCCCGGTTCTCTCCGAGTGTGAGTAACGGAACGCAGGCTCTCTTTGTCCTGGATCCGGCCCAGCGTCTGCTCTAGCTCTCTCTCTCGTGTTTACTCTAGTTTGGAGGAAAGCCATTCAACATCTCTATCATCCCTTTGCCGTATTTACAACCCTGGCCGGAAACATTCCCTCCTTTAAGTCAACTGGAGGTATTAACAGGAAAAGAGGGAAGAATGAATGTTAAGAAAGAGCTAATTGTCTCAATGACTCTGGCTCTTTGTCGGAGGAAGTCACAGAGCAGCGCTCGGAGGTCCTGTAGGAGGTCCCATGTCTCATGCGAAGCGTGTAAAGGCCAGATTTATTTGAGGAAAGTCTAAATAGTCTGTTATCAATGGGCTTTTTAAAGCTGGTCCAAATCTGTGCTTTATGTTGCAAGTGTAACTAACAAGTTGCATCCGGTTAATGCTGCACTTCTAAAGATAACTTCTAAGACATCTAGATTTTATTGTAATTTTAAATTAAAGAAAGAAAGTAAACACTGTTCTTGTGTTGTTCATGGGTGAATCTCTTGAAACTTGTCCAGAACAGTCCAGAACTTGTCCAGGTCAAATTCTTTAGGCCTTTTTTTTTTCGGCATCGAGGCATTATTTTAATGACAATTAAGTTAGTTTTCCTTTATAACAAACTTTATTTGTTATAATGAAATATAATTTTCAAATAATATACACCACTGTAAGATTGTGTTTTTTAAAGAAAAAAAGAAATAATATTACAAGTCAAAACAACTGTTTCCATTTAAATATGTTTTCAAATATGTGACCCTGCCTGTGAAAACCCAGCTAAAGTCATTTTTTTCTACATAAAATCATCCTTCATAAAGATGTAAATCATTCTGTGAAAATATAACCTTTATATCTTTAATATTGACTGAGTAAGGCCATGTCAAAGACTGAAATCATTGTAAAATTAATGGTTGAAATCAAACTTTGATGCTTGTTATCTCATAATTAGATTTTGAGACTTTAGCCTGGATTTCACAGACAGGGTCATGTATAATTGATTCCTCTGAAGGCATCATTGAAGGCCTCTGAAATCATTACTCCAGTCTTCAGTGTCACATGATCCTTCAGAAATCACTCTACTGTGCTGATAATGTGCTGCTCAAGAAACATTATTGAGTTGTACTGCTTAATATTTATGTGGAAACTATGATTCATATTTTGATCAATAGAAAGTTCAGAAGAAAAGCATTTATTTAAAATGGAAAACTTTTGTAATATTATAAATATCCTTACTGTCACTTTTGATCAGTTTAATGCGTACTTGCTGAATTAAAGTATTGATTTCTTTAGAAAAACACCTTACTCTACTTGATACTCTAGATTAAAACCTATTCTAAACTTGAAATTGTGACATGTTCATCATGGAAGTATTTGGCATTTGTTGTACAGACCTTGATTTATGAATAGTTTTTTTTCTTTGCTATAGTAGTAAACAATTACAGTAATGATAATCATCAAAATGCAAAAAAAAAAAAAAAAAGGTTTTAGGTTTCCTTCATTTAGTAGTATAGTAAAGTCAAGTCACCTTTATTTATATAGCGCTTTTAACAATACAGATTGTGTCA